AATCAACCTGCTTCTATTACTTTTTAGCAGCATACACAAAGAAGTTCAACAACTTTGGGTTTATTTCTTTTAGTACTTATCAGAACACACAGCTCCAGATATTCATCTGATCTCCTTTCCTGAGAAATTATTAGTCATTTATGTGCACAAACAAAACATTTACCTATGTTTATCAATGGGAGACTAATACACTTTACTCACAAAACACATATCACTTGACACACAAAAATCTAAATTATAAACTCTGGCTGTTGATGAAACGAAGCTGAAAATTATCAGCTTTTAAATGATCTTTCCTGTACTTTGCCCAATTACAGACCACAGCAATGCCCTCAGAACTGAACGGCTCAGCATACCAGTATAAGAGAGAGAGACCATCAAAACGCTCTGGTTCATCTTCAGCTCCTGGAGAAAGCAAGGACATCCTTCAGCACAGCAGGAAAAACAGGGACAACGCAACCGAACCGCACTGGAGGTTTCCAGCTCAGCCGGATAAAGGTTATGAGCAGGATGATTTCTGCTAACAACTAAAAAACCCAAACACAGAGCTCCAGCTGAGCGTTCTGCCTACTTAATCTTCTCTGAAAGCCTCTGCGTCACATGCGCTAATTCACCTAGAGAGGTAATGCTTACTTTTTCTCCCTTTGAAACGGCCATTTAGAGCAACTTTAAAGATTGATAAATGCAAAGGACAAAATTTACTACACTGTGATTAAGCACTCTAGATCCAGCAGCCAAAGGCAAACGTGATGATTAAAAGCAACTTATTTCCTCCTGGTCTTCTAAAACTTATTTACATACACCCTGCAAACAAGGTCAAAAGCAGTAACTCATGACCTTTCTAAAGCAATCTTCCTAGCAGACTGCATTATGCACAGCCACACAAAAGGGAAAGCCAACAAAGCAGGCTGGGAGTATTAATGAAACAAATGCCATTATGCTATTACTTTTCATTCTCAATCACGGTACTGGCTTGTGCCATGATCTAATTTGATTTTTAGACTTTCAAGATACAGCAGTCAAAAGTCAACACAGAACTTGGGTTATTTATTTTTTCTGGAAATACAAGCTGACATGTACTTTTCTGTGAAAGGAAATAAAACTGCCAAATTTATGTCATTACACTGTGAATAATGTAGTTTAAGAAGTCAAATGTATCACCCTTGTTCCCAGAGGTCAGATCCTTGGTCTTGCAGAGAAATGCACATTTTCAGAAATTCTGATCATTGACACCCGTTTGGTTAATGAATGTTTCCTTCCAGGCTTGCCACAGAAGTACCCCTACCACTCCCCCTCTCTCAAAAGATCATAACAAGACTGCAGCTTGAAATGCAAGCCTACTACCCTGTGTTCACTGAGGGCTTTAAGTAGAAAGGTGAATCCTCTCTAGCCAGGAGCAGCCCTGTGATCAGACAGCATCTGTCAGGCCTGGAGGTGCAGCAGGAGGGCTGGCTATGCCAGGAATGCAAAAGCTTATCTCAGGCACCTTTTTTTTTTTTTTTTTAAAGCTGCAGTGACTGTGGTTTCATTAGCAGATAATCCTTCTGGGGAAAGGATCCCTTTGCTGAGAGCCAACTTGCTGAACAGCGTTCAGAGAGAGCTGTCAGTCCTGAGAACCTGCAATGCACACACAGGAGGAGAAGGGTGACCCACCACAGATTAAGGAACAGATCAGAGACGGAAATGGGAACATAAAGCAGCCTTCCCAGTTCCCAAATGGTGAAAAACCCCACGGGTACAGTGACCACATCCATTCAGAGATGAAAATTTGCCCCTTTGCAGCATTTCCTCAGTCAGCTCACTCTGCTGCTGTTACCAGCATTATGGAAAATCCATTGATATTTTAAGCCTCATATCAATTAGATTTGCTCCAGGCAAGGTTACAGAAGATGAAGTACCAATAGATTTTCTCCAACAAAACGACCTCTGTATTTAACACCAGTGGAATTCAATTTGTGGTATCAATATCAGGAGCATTTGTCAAAATATATCACTCAGACCAAACAGCGTCCCATTTTCTGCCATAGAAATCCCCCAATTAATGCATGGCTCAAGGCTCTCCAATTTCCTTGTTAAAAAGCAAAAAGTTATTTTTATTAAACTAGACATAACAAACTTCTGCACCATTTAAGCAGATATAAAGTAGTATTAGCCTTATTGCTCTGATTTTATTAGCTATCACCAGTAATACATGACTTGTTCAGAAGATTGCTCCTCCACCCCTTCTTCAAAGTAAACTGTGCTTTGTTCAGCTTCCTGAACTCATCTCCAAGGCTTCCATCCCTCTTTACCTTCAAATTCTGTTGCTGTGCTGCTTTTAATGAATGCCAGCATTATTGCTTCTCTTGCAAGTGCTCTGCCTTTCAAGAACATGCTCAGAAGAACACAAATTACTTTTTACTTCCAGAAAGATCAAGGAAAATTGTAATTCAAAACTCCATGAAATTTAGTATAAATAAGTAAGACTAAATTTTCAAGAGCTGTCATTTGTTGTTAAGTAAGATTCATTTCCAAACAGCTGGAAAACTATTCCATTCTAGCCACATCTATAATTACAACTTGCCTCTCCCAAGGGAAGTTTTGCAACGCTTTAGCAACTGAGCTGGATTACATGATACTTTAGCAGATGTCAAAAAGATTTCCAGAATCTTTGGAAGTTGGATTCACTAGATCTTTTTTGTTGTAAATAACCGAAAAGCCTTTTACAAAAATCCTGTACAAATCCATTATGCAACTGTAGCTTCTCTAACCCCAAATTCAGATTTTAAGGACCATAGGCAAAGGAATACTGCATCATACACCATGGATGAGCACTCAGTGTCATCCATCCAAACCCACTCATTATTCAAAATACATTCTGCTGATTAGCTATAAAGGTTAAAAGAAATCATAGGTCATTATATGGCAACTGTTAAGCCTAAAAAAAAGCTTGGGCAACATTGTAATTGTGGAGAAGCATGAATGGTTTGAAGCTAACCCCCTGCACAGAGAAGAAAGGTATGATTTAAAGTCCAGGTAAACCTCAGTTAACCTATAACCAAGTCCATGCTTGGAAGCATCATCTTCTACAAGAAATAAAAGTACAGAAAATGACAGCCTGGCATCAGCATGCAGCTGAAGTGCAGTTTTAGGGCCTTTCCTGTTCATCTCTAATGTGAAAAACCACCTTTGGAATACAGTGACCTAGGAACTACTCATCTTTCACATGACTCTAGCAGGGCACAGCTGTCTGGAAGATGTATCTTTGTGATCACATACCCTGAATTTCCATCAGACAAGCAGAGTTTTGGCTTCTTCAGGTCCCAGTAAAAAGCAGGACAGCTTTTTGAATGTTTTGTGGTTTTTCTTTTCAAACCAATCAAGTTATTTATGAGGTGGCATAATTCTAAATCTATGTTAAATTTTTTTTTTATTGTTCTGAATACTCTTTGCTGGATTCTATTGCACAAGTACAACAAACATGGTAAGTCTAGCAAGAGCTGCCTGTGCCTGGTTTTAATTCTGGTTTTGATGAGAGCATTGGCGTGGTTATTTGGCAGTTTGGAAAGGGTCTGGAGTTACACTTTTCAGTCATGACTGAATCCATATTTGACACTGAGAATCTGATCCAACTTCTAAGTGGATAAGATTATGTTTTATAGAACGAACATAATTTTTTTGTATCCTGTGACATTGGTAAAAAATATAATGGTTCCTAAGTACTACATATAAAATATTAAAGGTATAGAAACAGAGTATTCTGAAAAAGTAATGCACTGTAATACAAAACCTTCAGTCTTATGCTACTGCAGGTACCCCAGATGTACAAAGAAGTGACCTACTATATACAAGTATGCTTTCATAGTTCAGAAGCATTAAATTAAGAAATCTCTATGCAAGGTTTTATCTCTACAAAACAAGTCCTAACCAAGTGCCAATTAAAATAATGAAAAGCTTAAGGGACAATTCCCTCCTTAAAGTGTAAATTCACTGGTGTTGGTGTCAGCTTTCCTACAGTGTTACTGCAGACTGCTTCAATATCAAAGTTATTTTTCTTTAAGTCTTCATCAAGACAAGATCCTACCAATGAAACTGCAAAAATTTTAATATTACAATCCATTAATTGTATTTATGCATCTAGGGAAAAAAGTACTTACTCCTTCTCTGTATTTGTGAGGGGATCTGCACTGGACATCTTCTTAGAAGCACTATTAAAATAAAAGTCCATAATTAAGAGCTCAGACATATGAACAGGCTCCTACAGGATCAAAATCTTCTCAAATAGGAAAAAAACCAGATTACAATTCTAGGACAATACAACATAACTGCTGAAGGGAAAGACAATCCCTTTTTTTCCCATGTAAAGTTAGTTGGAAAGGGAGTGGTGTTTTGTGTGTCTTGTTTTCTCATGTTTTTTTTTAACTTACACTCTGGTATTTAGTGTCTCTGAACTTCTCACATGAAGTATGTAGAACAGGCCAAAACACACAAAATGGGCTTACACACCACTAATGTAGCAAAAGCCCCAGAAATTCACATTGTGTTTTTACTAGTACATACAACAGGTTGACAGGAACTACAACCATGGATGTACTGAACTACAGTCATTTCAAAAAATGCTAAAAAAGCATTAATACAAAAAAATCTGTTTGCATCAGCAGTAGGAAATCTTCCTGACCTTGTGAGGTGCACAGCTGAACCCTCACATGCCACAATCCAGAAGAAGAATTATTTCCAAAGCAAGTGGGGCAAGGAACTCTCCCAACACACAGGAAGGGCAGCACAGGTGCTCCTGGCACCAATGCCACACCACAGACCCTGGGTAAGATACAGCAGAATCCCCAGGTGCAGTGTCAGCCTACACAAAACCCCTCCAATTCCTGCGTGTCTGTACTTATTGTGTGAAAAAGATGTTAAATCCGCGTTGGAATGCCACAAATGCTCCTGCAGTAAACATTTTCATGTTTTGATCACTAAAGAACCGAAAAACAGTCATATGAAGACAGGGGAAATAACACAGTATGGCTACACCGAGCCTTTACCGTTCTCTTATTCAACGTGGAAAATGAAGATGTTCCAGGAGCTGCCAGTCCTTGTGTGATTCACCTTGTGGAACCACCACAGAAGAGAGACACAGCTCTAAAGCAGTAAATTCAAGTACTGCTACAGCAAATTTTATTACAGTGCATGGCACCAGCCGTGTAAAAAACTATTGTTTGTGAACTTGGCCGACTTTGCCCGTCCTCAGGTTACCGCTGTTTACTAACAGCGCTCGCTACCTCTGCAGCGTGTCAGCGCCTCTGCCTGAATTTGTTCATGAAATGAACAAATGAAATTAACAAGAAGTAAAGCACCGGAGGAAAAAGGAACAAACAAACAACCGGTGTCAAGCGTCTACAATAGGGGAGAAACTGCAGGCCCCGGACGGACCACCCGGAGCAGCCCCGCACCCAGCGCCCGTCCTGGGGCCGCCAGCGCGGAATAACCTGAGAGACAAGCAGGTATCAGCGGGACCCGGGTCACGCCGCCGGTACCAGGTAGCTCCGGTGCGGTGTACCTGCGGCACCACCGCGCTCCCGGTGACCCCGCTCCTGGCCGGCTCTTCCGTGCCACTCCCGTCCAGCACAGCCCACTCGGCGCGGGTAACCGGAGCCGCGGAGCCCCGCCGGCCTGTGGGCTGCTCCAGTTACCTCGTACACAACCTGCGCCCGGGCCGTCCCGCTGGCGAGCGAGGCGGGGGCAGCCACGGGCGGCTCCACCGGGACCCCTTCGGTCAGCGCGCTCCAAGGGGGCGTACAAAGCAATGATGCGATGGCGACTCAATTCGACTCAGCTCAGCCCGCCCCCGTCTCTACTTTCCCTCCTTCCCTCCCGCCCTGTTCCCGCCTCCGTCCCGCCTCCGTCCCGCCCCGTTCCCGGCCGCCCGTCCCGAGAGCCCCCGCGCTGCGGTCATGGCGCTGTGCGGGCGGGGTTGGGCGCGCTGTGCCCGCGGGCTGCGACTCGGGGCCTTGCCCCGGCCCGGGCTCTGCGGGACCCGCGGCGTGCGGGGCTCCAACCCCTTCACCCGGCAGCAGGAGGAGGAGTGGCGGCGCCGGAACCGCTCGACCGTGGGCTACATCGCGGCGGCGGCCGTGGGCATGGTGGGGCTGTCGTACGCGGCCGTGCCGCTCTACCGCCTCTACTGCCAGGTACGGGGGGCCCGCGGCCGGCGCCGGTTCCGCGGGCGCGGGGCCCTCACTGCCCTTCCCTGACAGGCCACGGGGCTCGGCGGGACGGCGGGCACGGGGGGCGACCCGGAGCGGATCGAACGCATGGAGCCCGTGCGGGACCGGCTCATCAGGGTCACGTTCAACGCCGACACGCACGCCAGCATGCAGTGGAACTTCAAACCGCAGCAGAGCGAGATCTACGTGAGTCACCGCCTTCCCCCCGTGCAGAGCCCTGGTCACGGTCGGACCTTTCCGATCACTCGGTCCGACCGTGCAGCCGGCACTGTAACCATTAAACCACAGCACCCAACCAGGTCCAGCGCCATGGGGATTCCGCCACCTCCCTGGGCAGCCCTTCCCAAAGGCTGGCCACACCAACAGTGGAAAATGGTTCTGATATCTAATGGGAGTATCCCCTGTCTTGCCAAGGCCGTTTCCTCTGGTGCTCTCAGTGCAGGCACAGCAGAAGGGCCAATCCCCACATCACTACACGCTCCTGTCAGTAGTTGCAGAGACTGATGTTCCACTTGAGCCTCCTCTTCTTGAGACCGATCAACCCCAGACATGTTCTCTAGAATTTTCATTAGATTTGTTACCCTTTGCTGGACATGCTCCAGCACGGCAATGTCCTTTTTACAGGACAGTGTATGTAGCTGGCCCTCTGCCACCTCATTAAACTATCAAAAGTTATTGAAACTATATTTATATATACACGTCATGGTATATACACCACATGCACGTTGTACATACACCATAAAATTGTGTATATATACTTAAAAATATACAGTATAACAGTATATACAGTATAACAGTGTATATAAATCTGTACCATTTCTTCTATTGCCCTATCCTTATAGGTACTTTTTTTAATATTAAAAAAAAAATCACAAATTAACTCTTCTGTTTCAAATTAGTTCTCAAAATAAGGAGTTATGCTTCTTAATAGTTTGAGTCTAGTACTGAAAGAATAACCTCAGAAATTAAATGCACACCATATCTAAATCTGCATATTAAAAATGCTCTGTGTGCTGTTGAACTGCTGAGGATAATAGAAGACTCAGGCAAAATGGGTAAGATTAAAAATACATAGTATTGAAGCTTTTAATTTTAAATATGTGTGAATTGCATGTAATCAAAACTATTTGTGAAATAATCAATTTGAAACAGCAATAGTAGATAAAGTCTAAAGAACTTGGTTTGAGGGGTGGAGAGCTGCAGTGAATTAAAAAAAAAAAGAAAGAAAATCACTGTACAATTATGTTACACAGGTGGTACCAGGAGAGACTGCGCTGGCATTTTATAAAGCAAAAAATCCTACTGACAAACCAATAATTGGAATTTCCACCTACAACGTTGTCCCCTTTGAAGCAGGACAGTATTTCAATAAAATACAAGTAAGTATGAACAAAGCAAAGATTGCACTTTCCTTTACACAAAAGAAAACAGTTATCCATAAATTGCATTTTAACCCTGGACAACACTTTTCATATGACAACATTTTAAGAAAATACCTTGTTTTTTCAAATGGTAAAGTGCATCAATTCATTCTTAGCTTTACTGCCCTTACATCAAGCTGCTCATCCCATCAGAGTGGCTCCAAAATCTGTCATGTAGTACCACTCTGAGGGCAGGCAGAATGATGTGAGCTGGCCCCTTGATGCCTTTATACACTTGATTAAAAGCTAATATATTTTTTTCTATATCATCACAGTAACAAAATTACTGTCTTATTGCTCATCTTATTGATCCTTCCCAGGATTTTAGGGGTGTAAAGGGAATGAGAGTTTATTTTAAACTGTTAAGATTTCTTTCAGGTTGACAGAGATAAAATTTATCATCACTGTTTTTTAATTGTGGATTTCTTTTTTCTCCCACCTGCAGTGTTTTTGTTTTGAAGAACAGAGGCTAAATCCTCAGGAGGAAGTGGACATGCCTGTCTTTTTCTACATTGACCCAGAGTTTGCAGAGGACCCTAAAATGGCTAAAGTTGATTTGATCACTCTCTCTTACACCTTCTTTGAAGCAAAGGAAGGACAGAAGTTGCCACTTCCTGGGTATCAGTAACAAGCCTTCTCTACAAAATCTGACTTTGCTACATCTGAGTGCCAGTTTTGATGCTGTTTTTCCTTGGAAGAAAAAAACTGCAGGAGTACTGTGCACTATGAAATTATACTATTAAACCTCCATGGGCACATGCTGTTATGAAAGTATATGTATATATTTTTTTTTTTTTGAAACCAACTTAATATATCCCTATTTCTTAGGGATAGTATTTCTTCATCAGACAGCGAAGGGAACACACTGTTCCTGAAGTAGAGAGGGTTTTTCTCAGGCCATCTTATTGTAAGATGTTATCTGAATACCACAAGGCAAATTCTTAAACCAATGTGTAAATTAAGATCTTCTTTTAAATACAGAAGAAAAAATCAGTTGATAACTATCTAAAATTCCAATGCTGGCTCTGGAAAATAACTTGCATGTTAAGTTACTTTTGAAGAAGGTAAATGCAGATAATAAATTGAGGTAATCTCATAACTAAACAAAGTTAGACTGCTATTTCTGTGTGAGCCTCCCTGGCACAGGAGAAGATGGTTCAGAAGGTGATGCACTCTCTCATGTTATTACTGAATCAGTAGTTCACTTGGTAAGGGCAGACTGCTCTAAAGCTGTTATCACGAGAACAGTAATTTAAATGTAAGCACATCAGATCTCTGGGATGGCTTCCATCTGGAAACACCATCTTATTTCTGTGTTGTGTCCCATTCATTTGAAGTATGTGTGGTGTTGTTGAGTGCACTTTGCCTCTGCAGAGGGCTGAACACTGGGCACCTCCACAAGAGACAAGCTTGGCTTGTGTCTGACATGCTTTGAGGGTAGGGCAGGGTATAACTGCTCTGAATTGCAGCTGAATGAACAGCATAGGTGTCTCCTCAAAAACCAAGACCAGCCCATTCAGAGGCTGAGTTGGCTTGAGCCTGTCCAGCAGTGCAGCAGCTCTCCAGGGGGACTCTTTTACCACCAGAACACATCAGTGGTGTTTATGTAACTTTTGGGAATTATCTGTGCAGTAGGTGTAACAACACTTCATCACTGCCTTGCAAACCAGGAGCAAGTTATAGAGCAAGTTCAAGTAGCCTGCTCATTTTCAGACAGAAATTATTATCAGCCAGTATCTCTTCTGCTAGGCCATGTCTTTCTACACCTTCCAGCAGAGAAGATCTACTAAAATAAGGGTGATGTTGGTTAGCATGGACTCTGAAAAGGCAATGGTAACTTCCAGGAACTTAAGTCTCAATCATATTTGCATACAGTAACTCAAAAACTGCTTTTTTGAAAATAAATGGATGCTATCTTTAAAATCTATTATTGTAACAATTACTTGTGTTGATTAAACAGATTCTGGATGACATACAGGGCTTCACTGTCTCCTAATGAAAACTTTTCATTCTTTCATCTCTCTAATGCATTTTATTCAGCAGAACATATGAAGCCCACACAAGTGAAATATATCTGTATGAAGATGGCAGCAAGCTTTATAAATCCAGTATGCTTCAGGGAAAAAAAAAGTAGCATCAAGACAAATCTCTGAATCCAGGCTAGGGGGAAAAAAACCCAACTTCTTACCTCAGTTTTCTTTAGTCCTTTGTCCTTTTGAAAGCTGAACTGATTATGGCAGTTCTCCACCCATTGCTTTATTCTGGCCACTTTCTTTAGAAGAAAAGGAGTATGCCCCTGACAAGTGGCAGTTCCATAAAAATGTGGGTTCTCTGCCTGAGTTTGAAAGCCCAAATTTGCACAGATACTGAGCACGTTCCCTCTGTAACACCAGCTCCAACCTTGGTCATTAGCCAATTCCCTTCCATCTCTGTTACCATTTGTGGGATTCGCATTCTCTCAGAGAAGCAGAGAAGAGAATGATCAAAACAATTCTTGTCTCATTTGTTGCTCCTGTTGTTCGGAGAACATGTGGAATATCCTGGAAGATTATTTACCTGAAGGAATTTGGTAATTGGATTCTGGTATGTTTTGTTTTCTTGACCAAGCTGTGTCCTGCCGCTCGGTCAGGAGACAGTCACGGGATTTTGTGCAGTTGAGTTCTTGTTCAGTTTCAGTTTAGATGTAATGTAATATAGTATAATAAAATAATTATTTAGCCTTCTGATATCATGGAGTGCGATGCATCCTACTTCCCAGACCTTGGGGTCACCCTGCTAATCCCATAACCATTGTGCTGCTGCAAACACGGAGAGGTTCCGTCAGCAGCCGCCCATTGTGGATTACACTGCAACAGCCCAGTTTGATTTGTTACCCTTCACTGTGGGGGTTCTGCCAATACAACCCAGCTACAGGGGAAAAATTAAATCAATCCACCTCCAATCCTGTTTTCAGCTGTTTTCTCAGGCTGCTGTCCACACCACTACAAATTAGCAAGAAAAATGAGAGTAAAGCAACTCACCTTTTCACCTCAACTTAAAAAACTCCCAGTCTCCTTCAAGGTTGTGTTTTGGATAGAAGGATGTTGTTCTAATGGTCCTGCAGCAAACTGCACAGTTTCACACTGAAATACTTCCAATGCTACCTACATTTATATTTCAGGGAATACACAAAGAGAGAAAAACTTGGAAGCAATAAGAGTTTACTTCTCAGTAAGCATTTGCTTTTATTTGGAATTTTATGCTATAAAAATTGCAAAAGCAGCTGAGAACTTCTTATCCTTAAAACTTAACATAAGGAATGTTTCAAATGCAGTTATTTCACAAAACATTAGCTTATCTGGTAAGAATATGAACTAAGTTCTCAAATTTTGTATCAGCTATAAATTCAGAGAACTATACCTGTTAAAGTGCACAGTTTATATTCAGCATTAAAATAGATAAGGCACTTACTAAAAGATAAAACAGTTATTAACAGGATTAAACAACTTAATTAAAGTAAACGGGTAACTATTGCTCATCTGCATTGTAGATGATTAATTTTTCCTTCACCAGAAGAATCTCTGCAGGGCAGGAATATTGAAAGAAACAACTGATCCCCCTCCAATATTTACTGAGTAAAGAAAAGTAACAACAACAACACAGGAACAAGTTTTTTTTCCTGTTGGTTATTGATGACAGCACTTTGTGTCCCAGCTTAGGTTCTTCCTAAGACAAAAATCCAACTATACTGTGGGTTTTTAGGAAGAAAATAAAGGAAAATCTGTATTAAGGATGTAAGCAAGTAACACTGCACATCTTCAGACATCTATTAAGAGGCCAATTTTAGGGAAAAAAATTTATATCTCAAAACACCCTCATAGATTTCTAGGGAGATGAACGTAGCAGTGAGGCCAAAAGAGAAAGTGGATTCTGCAGTTTCTGTGAATATAATGTGTCTTTTTTCACTCATGCCCGGTGTCAAGTCTTACTTCATACACAGGTGAATTTGGAAGTCACATTTTGCAGACACCCAAAATACTTTAAATAACCACGCAAGTGACCTTGAAGAGCAGACAGCTGAACATTCAGGACAAATTGTCAAGGTGTGGAGCCAAGTAACTCTTCAACTTGCACACAGCTTAGTACTCCAACACTAATTACTGTGTCAAAATGCAAAACCTCTCCTGTTATTCACTTGTAGTTACAGGAAGCACTGCACAGGACCAGCACTAGAGAGTGTTCAGGAAAGGATTCCACCTCCACTTTCAGTCCGTGTTCTTTTTAACTTCTGTCTTCAGCACAGCATCAATTTCTTCATAAATAGCTCTGAAAGAGGAGGAGTAGGATGACTCCTACATCACATTTCATTTTGACAAATGGCACCAGGGAAATCCTGCCCGAAGTTTACAGTGCAGCTTCCCTTGCAGGACGCCCAGGTCTCCACGGAAACAAAGAGCCAACCCTGCTCTGATTATCTGATTGTACATTTAATGAGGAACCTCTGGATACTGTCACTTTTGTTCAAACAAGTTTGGGAACTGGACTGCAGAACACAAAAGGCAAGGGCACCACTGTGCAATTACTGCACTAATTAAAAAAAAAACAATGGAAGTTTTGCTGAGATTTCCCTATCTCAAAATACAGTGGCTCCTCAGAAGTAAGTTTTGTACAGATAGGTCAATTTTATTTATTTTTTTTTTGCAATTTACTGTTAGAAAGGGGAGTTCTGCCATCTGCTAGGTTTTGTATTAGTTTGCTGTCTCACTATTTTGGTTTTCTGGAGAGACACAGCATCCATTCCCTTTTGTAGTTTATATTTAAATTAAAGATTTTTTTTCATATGCAGTAGAAAAACACTTTAAAAAAAACCAATTGCTATGAACAGGAATGCATATTGTTACCTTGTTCCAGGACTACCTGTGCTGAAGTTCAATCAGCTACCTCCAGCAGGACCCTGACTATATTTCCTTCACCTTTCTATATCACTGGATAAGATTTTAGTAATTTTGATAGAGCATTACTCTTCCAGTTTTACAGATGCCAGTTAGTGAACACACTATAGTTTATTCCTTAATTGGTTATGCCAGAAATATTTGAAGAAATCATACAAAATGCAGCCATGGCCATTTACATCAATAATGCAGCTAGTCAGTCAACTCAGCCTAAGTAGAGTGGTGTGGTTTTCCTCTCAGAAAAAAAAGACATTTTGCCTTTGGTACCACAGAATTTTAAAATTCTATTTTAAATGTTACTTACTCAGTCGGAGCCAAGGGATCGAATTCCATTATCTCATAGTAATGAGGCGACTGTGACTTGTTCTTTGATGTAGCTGCAGAATAAAGAGAGACACATACCCAGATTCAAATGAGAATGAAAAGCAGGATTACTGCATGTTTTTTGTGTCTTCCCAAAAGTAGCACATTATCTGCTATGGATCCAGCGGCTTTACATGCTAAAATGGACAGAAGTGTAATGGACTCCATGAGCAATATGACTTTGTCAATGCTTGCTGCTGCTCCTAGTCACTGACAGCCATTATATAAAGGCTTTAAGTTCTAACAAGAAAAGGAAGCATGAAAGAGGTGATTTGCAGTATTTATTACCTGCTGGTGATGGTCCATTTGATGGCACAGTCTGTCCAGCCTGCAGACTTATTGGGTTCAGAGGCACTGGGCTTAAAAGAGTCGTCAACTGAGGACATCAAGCAAAACAATGCATAAACAGATTGTTCCATGGACTGGTTTGACCTAACTTACATAATTGCTGGCTTATCTTTAAACTCTCTGACTACTGCAGGTAAAATTCCAAGGCCAACAGTTAGCAACCCAATTAATCTTCATTCTCCACACAACCTTCAAAGCAACATTTAGTCTTCTATAGCACACGTGTATAATTTACTTCTGTGTGACTTGTTCCACCACACAGATTCAAACATCTGCTTTTATTTGCAGTTTAAAATAAGGACTATGCATGTTTGTTTGGGAGCTGCTTCTAATCTTTTCTATTTCATACTGCCTTCATAACATTATCTCAAAGTCCCTTCAGGCTCTTTCCATTCCTTCTGTCATGGGTGTTTCTCTGCAGCATGACATTTGTCCTGAACTGTACTTGGGGTTTAAGTGACTTTTTCGTGGGCTGTGTTTTTGTGGGGGCTTTGCAGGTTTTGGGTTTTTTTTGTATGTTTGTTTTCAATATCTTATTTGTGATAGAAAGTACACCACAGTAACATCATGGCAACAGGAGGAGAGCTCAGCTTGCTTTGCATAGCAACAAATTAAATAATAGAGCAAGAGCTTTCTGCAAATTCCCCTGGGATTGTGCTGGACCCAAGAAAACAGGCCTCCACATTAGGATCTGTGGCAGCAAAAGAGGAAAGTTGACCTGGTTACCAAGTAGAATATTCCCTGAGGTATGGAGAAGGGCCACAAAAGAGATCTTTGCATCTTTGCAGTTGGGGTAAATCCAGAAGTTCTCATTTGACAGCTGCCAGAAGGAATGATCATCCCGAACATAAGTATTACTCACATTGCTATAGATGTTCACATTGCTGTATGTGTGTCCAGCTGGGCTGCTTAAACTGTTGTTTTGTGCTTCAGCTGCAAATCTAGGAGAGAGCAATACATTGAATATAAGTAAGAAACTATCAAAACTGTTTATTCTGATTGCTCCAATATTTTTTTGGCTGGTCAGCCTTTCCTGTGTGTTACAACTGAGAGCAGCATGGGCAGACGGACCAGTGGCCCATGCACACAAATTGTAAAGACACCTCCCCTGTCTTGAACCCTCTTCCTGACCTGTTTCACGTTTCTCCCTTTCCCTGCCAAAAGTCAGCTACATTTATGTCTGTCTATGACAAAACAGTGATGCAGGCGTAAGTGTATTTTGAATCCTCTCAAACAACGTCGAGCACAGAGGGAATTTTCACTTGTCTTACTGAACTAATATGTAAAAGTAGCAAGCCTGTGCCCTCAGAGATTCTTATATTCATTAGATG